AATTGCAATTTCAGATTTTTTAAACTGGGAGATCAAAGAGCAAGAAAGCATGCAGATTTCTAAATCCATAGCCATTGAAGATATCACAGGTAAGGTATAAAAAGAAAACCTGTAATGTTGTAGTGATTTACAGTTTCATATTAGAACATAAAAATGGTTAAAATTTGTATATTTCATTGAGAAAAATGCATAGTTAAATTTTCTGCAAGTGAATCATTAAGAATTGTCCTCAAAACTGCTCCTAAAGACTCATTCACTTAAGGAAGACAGGATCTAATGATTGCTCTGTGGGTTAAATACTGTACATTCATGCTAATTCCTGCTAATTGTCAAAGAAGAATAGAGTGAATCTTATCAGCAGTTTGCATGTGTGTAATGGCCCTGGTCTGTTGCTGCTGTCTACTTCACTGATAAGGAAAACACCACTTAAAACAAGCAAGAAAGTCAGCCATCCTTTCAAGCATTATTATTTTTTTTTTTAAGCCTGCCTTGAGCAGAAAAAGCCTGGCATTCTACAGGAAATATTGTGTGATTTCATGGGAACATATTTAGTAATAGAACAGTGAGCAATGAATTAACTCCTCACATTTTTAGTCCACATATTTTTAAAAGTATGCAATAGAATATGATTTCCACAATGTGAAGTTATACTGTGGATGTCACAGTATTTTTAAATACTTTTAGAGTTTTTAAACCCTTAAAATGACACACTATTGTAAGTGAATGTAATTCCTGTAACTTGCAGTTTTGGTCAGAAGGATTAAAGAATTGTGTGGATCTTGAAAGTTGAAAATAATTACACATTTAAGATGTTAGTGTTTTGTTTTGTTTTCTTTTAACGTGAATTGTTCTTCAACTTATTTTATAGGCAATTTTAGTGGTTATAAATTATTGACAAGCAGCTGTGATAAAGTTAAAATCGCGTAGATTATTGATATTTACTTACTGCTTTACAGTCATGCAGAGGTTACCCTTTCATATTTCATAGAATAATAATGTACTAAGAAACATTTGAGGCTTGATTGTATAGAATTCCAGAGCCTGCAGAGAAATGTTTTGGCTTCTCTTTGTTCCATGTTCATACCATTAGTAATAGTAACAGTGTTATATATGTGTGTGCAGGGTTGCAGCTGAAAAAGTATTTTATCACACTTCACAGCCCCACTGTGATATCTCATTTTTACAGCGGAGATTACTGAGGCGGTCAGTGGGACAGGAGTCATGCAGACAGTAATTGGTAGAATAGAGCCCTGGACCTGACTCTTCTTAGCTAACTCCAGTGTTCATTTCATTACATTTTATCCATAAAGGTTGCCTTTTTAAGGAGAATTTTTCACAGTCTTACAGTTTTTATCCCCAGTAACTCTAGTTGTTGTCATTATGCCTTCCCCAGAATATGCAATTATTAAAGAATTGTGGAGGTGGGGAGGGGATGGAGGCTAACAAAGAAGGAGTGAGTCAGTATTGTGTGGTATGGGATTTGGGGAGTCTGGAAATTATGATTAAGTCTCCAAAGCCTTAGTCTTGACCTAAATTGCCAAGAGAGACCAAGTCAAGAGTGAAACACCCCAGAGTGCATTCTCCGATAACAAGTTACTGCTTTATTTGCACTTTCTTCTTCATAATGTAGTTGGGAACATCTAAGGAAAGTGGGTTCATATCAATGGAAAACATGAAAGGAACGAAGTCATATTGTGCAGTGCTCCTAATTGCTGTTCATTTAACACTTACTAGAAGATGGCAGACTCCCAGCTTAGGACAAACCACTCACACAGGGAGGGAGGCAGGATTAAGTACTGAATGAGTGAGATCTACTTCACTCACTTCTAGGAACAGCTACGAAGGTCATCTTTTATATATTGAGCCACATCCTATCTGCAAAACCTTTAACTTCACCCCTGATAAACTCCTCCCGAAGCTCCCAGAAGCAATGGTGCTTCCATAGTTTGGTTAGAGAGGCTGCTTTGTCTGTTTTATGAGTTTCTGGCAGAATTACCAGGTGGTCAGACTTCTCAGTACAGCGTGTGTAAGCCAAAGAGAAAAGAAATCCCTGCAAAACTGAAACGTCTGCTTAGGACTGGGTGTCCGCTGAGTTCAGCTAAGGAGAATTTTTAAAAACTTGGCAAAAATGTGAAGGGAGCGCATATCACCATCTCCATCCAGGTTCTTCTGACGATTACAACTTACCCCTGTGTTTGTCTGTCGGTTCAGAACAGCTGTACCCAGTCAGTTCACCCTCTGTGTCATCTGGAAGTTCTCTGCTCTTTTCAGTTCCACAATCACTTTTGTTCTGACTGCTGCTAACAGATTAAAAGGCCAAACACGACAGTCGGTGACCCTATGAGATAGCTGCTACTTCATTGTCTCCAAGACTCATTCTACTATCAGATAGCCCATCGCTGGTTTCAAGTAATGATCTTAGAACTGTTCAGATGAATGTGTCGTAACTTGGATCTATAGGATAGCAGTGAAAGGATAATCACTTTAGGGGAAAATCTTTTTACAGGACTAAAAAGTAGGAATTATTTCTAGTATTAACACACACTTATTAATCTTGCTTATGTGATAACACAAGATCAGAGAGTCTAAGGAATAGGGATGATGCATCTGTCTCTTGCTTATAGCCCTGCTAATCTTTATTGTAAGTTTACGATTTGCATGGAGTGTCTGCTCTGAGGGGATGTTGGCTTTGTTATTTTTAGCGAAAGCCTCAGGATTTGTTCTGAAAGAGCCTGATGCAGTGTTTGCTGTGCGGCGTGGGTGAGGGCTAATCCTTAGCAGCCTGTCAGGGACTCGGAGACCACTGGGGCCCGCCTGAGGCCCGGAGCGCCTCTGCAGGGACCGACGCGGTGACAGCGCACTGCAGGTGGTCCATTTTGCACCGTCACTTGGGACAGCAAGGAGACCCTGTCCAATTTGTCATCCCATAGAACCCTGTCAGCAGTTGAAAGTCTTAAGCGCAAAACCTTTAACACTGAAGGCACACTTCCTCCTAATATTTTTTAAAAAAGAATTGCTATGGATGAAAATACGAATACACAACACCTATGTAAACAGTGTTTCACATGCAAGTATAATATTACGTTACATCACATGGCATGTGATCTATGGAAATGTTGTCTATAATTTTACAGACTAATTGTTGCTAATTACATTCCCCGCTTCCTGATAAAGGTAGTAAAATATAGCTGCTAACAGAGGGTAAAATCAGTCTCTCCTCACTCTCCCTGGTGTCTTTGGTTTGTTTTATAGACCTGTGAAGGATACTTGAAGTCCATTTTGAAAACTTTTTGTTTCGATAATAATAAATAATTGAACCATTTCTTGTTTATCCATAGTAGTAACTCAAAAATAACATGCATCTTCGAAATCCCCAAATTTCTGTTATTAAGCTTTTATTTGATTAATGAATATCCTCTTTACTTGCCCAGTAATAATACCTGCTATTATTCATCGAGTGCCAGTTTTGTGCCAGTTCCTTTACCTAGGTTATTTATAATCTCTACAAATAATGGGTAAGCTCAGTTCCTAAATAGGAAAACCGAGCTTCTGGGTGGTTAAATGACTTGCTCAAGGACACAAAGCCATCAGGAGGTGGGATCTGAGCCAGATCTATCTCCAAAGGGCAGGTCATTTCAACTGTCCTTTGCTGTTATAAACCATGCCGAGAACAGCGAGATGGCCCCCAAACAGGCCTAATTTAAAAACGGGAGACTAAGAGGAGGAAAGGTCTGAGGGACTGAGAAAGTGAACAATCAGATGGTGAGTGTTTCTGTCAGGTAGAGTAAAAATCAAGCAGAGTTAGAGGAGAAACTGGGAAAAAAGTCAAAACAAGATGTGGACTTGGGAAGGAAATGAAAAAGAAAGGCAGAAGGAAATGGAAAAATAATACATGACAGGTTAAATAAAAGTAAACAGTCATCTGAATATCATATGCAAATGACAAACTAAGGCTAAGGAAGGCAAGGATTAAAATCCACAAAGAATGATTCGTAGACAAGAGAATATTTTGTCTAAAGATGGATTTTTTTTCCCCAAGAGAGTAAATGGAAACCTCATTGGCTTGATATACTGGTTTTGTTTTTTGTCCTGATAATATGAGTGATAAACATTATGCAGATTAAACTGCTTTTGGTTGAGACTGAGCACTGCCTGTGGTCTGAAGAGACTTTCTAATGCCGAGACCTTTGGCTTTATTTAATCCATGCTCCTGATGGTGGAAGCGTCATTTTCAGATCATTGTAAAGTTTGATAAGTCAGTATCAAGCTTATTACATGAAGATATTACAAACCAAAATTAAGACTAATTTCTACTCTTGATTCAAAATGGGTGGATACTGTAGTGCTTACTGTACATTTTTAGCAATATTAAACTGTCTTCATTTCCTCAAAAGTATGATGGCAGTTGGACATTTCAAAAATGTTCTTCTGAGAAGAAATTAGGATAGAATGGAAATTTCAAAAAGAATGGCCCCTATCTATATGATAATATATATTCAATTAATATATAAATTTTTATTAGGAACAAGTAAGCCAACTTGCATTTTTTTTGCTATATATTATGTCTAAAAACATGATCAATATATATAAAAAACATAATTTCCAAAATAAATAATTTTATCAATTAGTTGCCATTAAAAAGTGATATCTGAATTGAGCTGCACAGACATGACTTCATATCATTATCATTGAGCTTTGCTGGAAAATGTATTCTACTTAATGACAACAGATCTCTTTGTCAGCTTCCTTAGAAGATAAAATACAGGTTATAAAAAATGTTGTTGTGAAATTAATTGCTCAGAGTTATCCTTTTCTAATTGTGCTCTATTTAATTACACTTTAAGTTAATTACTTGACTCCTTTGCTGCTGTGTATTAAGCCTGAAAGTTCAGTGGAGCCTGTCGCACCTCCTGTGGTCGCCCCTCTTAGGAGACTAGAAGGTTAAGGGCCTGGCGGAAAGGGGGAAGTGGCTCTAAACCTTCCTTTTTCCTTCCATCCAGCTACATCTACTTCCACCACCGGGACGAGCCACCTTGTGAAATGTGCAGAGAAGGAGAAGACTTTCTGTGTGAACGGAGGCGAGTGCTTCATGGTGAAAGACCTTTCCAACCCCTCAAGATACTTGTGCAAGTAAGAAAAGAACCCCCTGTGTGGCTGTGTCCCTAACGGCTGCTCTCCCATGACTCTGTCTCGTGATGTACTGTTGCTTCTATTTCCAATTTTGTTGCATCCTGTTGAATAACACTTTTTATTTGTAGCTTATTTTAAAAAGTTTGCACCATTTGTCATCTCTGTTTTATCTAGAATTGGTTTTTTTCCTGCTTTTTACGATTTTTTTGCCTTCACATTTATAAAGTTGCTTTCTTCGTGGTTTTCATCACTGTTACCTAGAAGAGATGTGCAGATATCGTAGAGGCCTATAACTAATGGCACCTGCTTCTCCAGCCGATGTGCAGTTAAGCTGTAAGATAATGTCGCTTTTTAGCCCAGTGATCACCTGCAAAACAAATAAGATAATTAAAGATACAGAAGTACAGAAGGTTCTTTACAGACACAGCTGTTACACTTGACAGTAACTTACTGTTTCATCACTATTTTTAAAAATGGAATTTAAGTTGGTCTCGCTAATTATCAAAAAAACAAATTGCATGTGTTTGGAAATGGATATAGTGTGTGTAGCATCACTGTGTGTGGAAAGCAGAATGTTCTTCAATGCACTGCCGTTATTTGTAGATATATTTAGAATGGCACTCTGTCCTATGACCTGAAGGGGCTGATGCACCATTCAGAAGTATCACAGTTAGTCCCTCTGAACAGGCAGAATAAAACAGTAATATTATCAGTACACTGAGTATTCAAACCATGTAGTTAAAATTAGCAGGTCTCATTAAAAAGTACATGTTTACTTGCCATGCATTTTAGTTCTATTCTTGATATTTAGGCTACATACATGTGGTACAGGAATGTTTACTGTCTCACCGAAATGATGAAAAATACACATGTATTTTGCAGCTGACCAGTAGCTGAGTCCCACTGTTCTAAAGAAGCACTGCTGGTCCTACATGACCGAAAAAAAAGCATGCCATCATAAAAACTGACTTCTGCTCCAGGATATATTAGCTTGTCACTTAAATGTTGACAAAGAAGAATGAGTTTGTTAGAGAGCTAATAGAGTAATTAGCAAAATGGAAATAAAAAAGCACAAGGAATTATTAAGAAGGCCAATTCCATACATCATGTAAATAGTGTACAAATATTTATGTGCCAGTTCTAAAAAAACCCTTCATTGTTTGTAAGTAATAAAGTACATCTTAAAGGACACATGTTTTACAATCATAACACCAAAGAAAAATGCCATTTTGTAAGAAATGTTTTGCTGTTCTCTGTGCTGTTCTGGACATGCGCCGTGTGTAGAGTTTCTCATGGGACCCCATGAAGGAGTACCCCCAGATCTACTTTTTACCCTCAAAAGTTTTTCTTTTAAAAGAGTAGAAGTGGTTCCAGAAGAAAAGTTTTGTTGGTTGTATAGCTGATTTTATCAATTAGACAACTTATAAAAGTCAATATAGTTTGTTGGAGTGGATAAGACTAGGAATCACAAGAGCGCTTCAATTACTAAGCATCTCTTGATATAGAGAGGTAATAGTTATAAGCCAAAATAAAATTAATAGGTAAAAGTCTTTTCAAAAATTTAAAGCTAGGTAAAGATGAAAGGGTATGTAGAAAAAAATTATTTCTTTCCAGGTTTGAATTATTTCACATGACTATCAATGTTTGTTGTTTTAAAATTAATCTTAGATTTCCCTGTTTTATCACCAGTATATCTAAATCTATATGGCTAGAGCAGAGAATCAAAATTGGTCAGTTTTAGTCTTTGGTTCTGACAACTTGCTGTGAATACAATAGAAACACAGCATCCCCATATTTATCAGAGTAAATCAGGATGGACAAATTTTATAATTTTCTATAAGGTTCTCTCAGATCAAAATCGAAACGCCAGCTGAGAGTTATAATCTGTAAAATATGAGGTTCATTTATTACATGTGGAACTCTTGTTATTCTGTCCTAATCTCAGGCATACAATCCAATTATGTTTTAATAAATCTTCTTGAAAAAACACTTAAATCATAGTTCCTTAAATTCTCCTCCTTTTTAAACAAAGTGCCCATATTATCTATGTCTTATATTTTTACTTCTTTAGAAAAACATCTGAGCCACTATATTTTCATTATAATAATGAAACATGATCATTTTTCATCATAGCCTTTGCGAAGATTTACAAGCTGAGTGAGTACATGTGATATAGTTTCCAAATACCTCTAAGGAACCAGTGCAGCTATTTTCCACATATTAACTTCAGCTACTCTGCAGCCCTCCCACGTCCTATAGAACATGCAGTTGCAGGGGTGTTGTTCATTTGTTCCACTTTGGTATTGTGCCAACAACTGCAATTTCTCTTTCACCTACACAGTTTTTCATTAAATTTTAAGCCCAATCTAGGAAAAAAAAAAAAATACTTGCTATATTTTTAAAAGCCTTATGCTGAAATGTTTGTTATTTCTCTAATAATTATTAAAGTAGCAAACTGTGAACGAACACTCTGTATCCCCCAAGCTCATTGTCTGGAGGGTTCTGTTGTCTGCTACTTCTCAGCCCATGGGCATCATAAGTTTATTTTTAATTTTTTTGTAATTAGAATTTTTCAGAAAAATGTTAAAGCTTATGACTGCACCTTGTTGGGAAGAAACTTGGATACTTACGATTTTGATAATCTCCTCCCCTCCCCCCAGCCTTTTCGGTTCATGTCTTTACTGACGCATCAAAGCAAGCCAGTACCTTAAGCGAAGAATTGGAATATAGTTCACACCCAAAATATTTCAAGCCTTTTTTGCTAAATAAAAGTGTTTTTGTAAAAAATAATCCCTGTCTTTAAAGCATTTATAGCATTAAATATAATCATGACTCAGAATTGAAACCAAGACACATAAGATACCGTGTCTGAGGATAATACACTGTTCACTGGACCACTTGGCTGGAAAGAGAAAGCTGGCGCCTGAGCTTCCCCGGTCAGGAGCAGCCCCGTCCTGACCGAGACATGACTCAGGAACGCCGCAGGCAGGGACGGCCGAGCGCTCCCTCTGGTCGCCTAATCCGCGGTTGTCCTGTTGGGAGCCGGAGCCGAAGACTGGACAGCAGATCTCTTTGTCTCTCCCGTTAGCACGGGGTCTCCAGTGGATTAAACATAAAACAGTTAAACAGCGCCCTGAGGAGCCTGTGCTGCTTGCTTGGATTTCCCCCGGGGCCCGTGGGGAAACTTTAGTGGTTGTTCTCATCTGTTATATTTCTCTTCCCTCTGTAGTCATTGAAAATTTATCCTGAGGAAAAAAGAGTTCCTTTCCCAGACTATATGAAAATGAGAAAAGAAACATTTCATCTTTTACTGTCTGATGCGCCACGTAGTCACAGAGTTCAAAGAAATCAGACAGTTTGAACATAACATTGACCAAATTTTCCTCAGCATCGCCCCCTCATTCTTGTATATCTGTTCTTCTAACAGTTTTAGTAGAGAGCTATCTTGGAATATGTTGATGTGATTTTTCTAAATCTAAAAATGATTTTATACCAAAACACATTTATGAACCCATGGTGCTGTCCCGTGGACAGATGTGGCTTCCCCATGAGGGGACTGGAGTTTTTACCACCAGTCGTGCTGAACAGTCACGAGCCCGCTCACTTCAACTCTCTAGACAGGATCTAAATTCCTAACATGGAGTTAATACGCCCTCCACATTTCTTCCCAGGAAGTTAGTGAAATTAAATGAATTCATTTCTGCTAAAGTACTTCTAACTCTGGCAAAGCAGGATTTTTTGCCTTATAATAAAAAGTAAATGGTAGTATTACATTCTCTGCAGACATTGGAAAAATATAAACACCTGTCTTAACAGACTGTGTTATCATGTTTAATCCCCTATTCCTCATCTTATTTAACATTAGCAGTTTTTATTTGGTTCGGTGGGGCCACCAGCTAGCTTTATAACTTTGCATTGGACACACCATTTCATAGCTCTGATGATTATATTCCTTTTATGCAAAAAACAACAAATCTTAGGAAGATGGAAAGTGCCTTCAAATATGAGCTTATGATTTTTTATAATTAATTTTTATGAAACTATGTAGTATATATAAGGGCCTATATTGTATTTTTATAGGAGACAATTATGGAGAATATGTAACTGTAGATTGGGTCAGAACAAATTTATAGTAAATTGAACTCAATAAATGAAATATTAGTAAGCAGTTGTTTATAGAACAGCTACATCTATGGCAGGCATTTTTGAAAATACAAAGCTTGGTCTCTGTCCCTGGGAACTTAGTTTAAGAAAATTAAGTAGCTGAAATAGTGACTCAATAAGAGTGAATATATCCCAAGTGGTGCAATGTTGATAATTATGGTAATGAGAATTTAAAGAAGGAAAAGATTGGAATAAGTTGGAGAAGACTTTCTAAACATAGCCATTATTTATGGAGTTCTTTTTTATGTAGCAGACAGGCACTGAAGTTGCAGTAATGGCCTCTGTGAGACCCTGTGACGTGCGTATCTAAACCAGCAGCTTCGTTCTAAGAAGTAAAGCAAAAAGCTGAGTTAGACACTGAGCCAGTTTCTGAGCTCTGGAGGCCAGGCAAAGGACTTTGGACACTTGTGATAGCTAATAGGGAGTGATAGTAACTTCTGGAGCAGGAGAGGGGCACCATAAACACAGCAGATGTTCAGAGAAGAGAGATTTCTGTACAGGATAGAGAAATTCTAAGACTAGGTAAGATGGGGAGAGAAAGTCAAAGACACTGGCTAAGGTTAAAGTTTTGTAAAATCTTGGCATAGTACTGATGGTGATGATAATATTTATACTACTTATTAGCAGCTAGATGAACATAATGAAAAGGGCCATGATGATTCAAATTCATAGCTGTGTCCTGCAGCCTCATCATCTTGGCTGTAGAAAGAGAAATTTGGACTAGATAAAGGGATGTATATTGAGTTAGAACGGATAATCCTTAAGAACAGATGGCCAATTGTACTCCAACTCCAGCCCCGAAAGAGTTCCTTCTTTAGAATGAATGTCACACCTGT